TATTCAGATCTGCCCACTCCGTCGCCGCCTTCTCGTGTACCGCCACCCCGTTTGCTTCTCCAATCAAAAAACTAGTTCAGAGGGATAGAGAAAGGGAGAGAAAAAGAAAAAAAGAGAAAAAGAGAAAAAAAATGAGAGACAGAGAGAGAAAGAAAGAAAGCGATGGAGAGAGAGGGAGAGAAAATGAGAGAAAGGAAGAGACGGGAGAGGGAGGGGATAGAGAGAGAATGAGGAGAGAAGAAATAGAAATAAATTTAATTAAAAAAAACTGAATGAATATGTAGATTAAAATATTTAGGTTATAAGGGTAATTTAAGGATAAAAAAATAATTAAGGATGTATGCCATATATTGTTTCAAATTAAGGATTTAATTAAAAGAATGGATTTGAATTTGTTATTTAGTTCAAATTAAGTTTCATTTGAGGGGCTCTTAGCATATTACCCCTTATTATTATTATTATTAAAAACTACTAAAAAAAACTATTTTTTCCCTAATTAAAATTGAGCTTATACCCTGACCCGGTTAACATCCCAACCCGGTCCAATTGCAGATACCAGGTCAACCAATCATATTTCACTTTAATTAATACTTATTTATGTATACTAAATTAAATCATGATAAATTTTATTAAATAAACATTTCCATCTGTATTTTTGTTTTTTCATTAACATTCAAAACAAAGCTACAAAACACAGTAAAATTTTTCTTCTTATCGATCCCTTTTCCACTCTGCCAAAAACCAGAGACGAAAACATCACAAGAAATCAAAAGGGGGATTTTTCCTGCTTGTATATATATATTGTATCTATATATACAGAATCACAGTCGAAGATCTATCGTCCTTTTCACTTGATTCAATTCGCTAATTTGTGAATTTTGGAAGAGGAAAAAAAAGCCGTAAATCTCGAACCCCATTTCCCAAATTCCGCATTGTTCAAGGTCAGTTAATCCATTTTTTTTTTCTTTTTAGAATTCAGATTACGTCGGAATGAAGTCAATTTGGAGTATTTGTTTGGCAATCCGGAAGAAATTCGGAAGAAATTGAATTGAAAATTTGTTGGGCAGTCACTTTAGCAATCAATCCATATATACGAGTCCGATTGCGTTATCGTGTTGCAGTTTGGATTTTAGATTTCGAAAATTCGGTGGATCTTGTGTGTTGATTTGATTCAGTCTTATTGAATTTTTGTTGCAGAATTCAGTAATTGGGTGGTTATGGTTATTGGGTGGGGCATTTGTTTTTATTCGGTGAGATTATTATGAAGGAGGGAGTGCGTTTTCGTGAAGTATATGTGTAATGGCGGACGCTGTAGCTCTATTAGAGGCTTCGGGCTCCAGATTTAGCGATTTGGAGCTCATTGGAAGAGGTTCGTTTGGGGATGTTTATAAAGCGTAAGTTTTAGTCCTTGCTTTATTTGTATTTCGTTTATTTCCGGTTTCGTTGAAATGTAGATATACGTAAAGCCATTAGTGGGTGTTTAAACTTATGAAGCATTTGTGTCCAACCGATTTTGACTTTTACAAGAACTACTAGAGAAAGGGAAAATTTGCACTGTTCACACTATTTGCTCGTCTATTTGTTGGTGACTACGTATTTTGATAGTTATATATAGTTGCTTGCAAATCTGTCGTTAGTTGTCAAGTAATGACTGAGCAGGAAAAGCATATTAGAAG